CATAAAAAAAGACAAAATTGTCCCATTTACAACAACATGGATGGACCTGGAGGGTATTATGTTAAGTGAAATAAGCCAGACAGAAAAACAAACACCGTATGACTTCACTCATATGTGGAAAATAAACTAACACACAGACAGAGAGAATGGCTTGGTGGTTACCACAGGGAAGGGGGTTGAGGGGTGGGCACAGGGGGTGAAGGGGTGCATATATATGGTGACTGACAAATAATAATTTACAACTGAAATCTCACAATGTTATAAACTATTATGACATCAATTAAAAAAAATCCAGATATTCTGGATTTTGTTGCCATTGACTATCTACAAATTTACTTAGGGTTGGGTTATTCCAGAGATTGGAGGTACCAAAGAAATTTAGAAAAGAAATAAAGATGGCTAAGACTCTGATTGATTTCAAATTTTATTTTTTAAATTATTCATTAAATATCAAAAGAACAGGTACACCTGCTGTGTTCCAGGCACTATGCCACGTATTAGGGACAGAGAGAGAAAAGAATTCATTTTGGCATTAAGAAAAGAGAGATGTTTTGCCCATGTATGTTCACAGATCATGATCCTACACTGTTTCTCAATACGGGTCTTATTGGTGTTTTGAACAGAATAATGTTATTCTGTTATATCAAAGGCATAACCTATAGTATACAATAATATACACCATTCACAGCAGAGAAATTTCTATTACTCTAAATGAGAAAATAAATGTAAAAGCAGTTCATAAGTTAGAAAGCACATTACAAATGTAAATAATCATTTTTAAACAGTATTTTAAGCATTCTGACTCAGGAGAATTACTCAATGAGAGATTTGGGCAATAGAAAAATGTATAATGCACAGTTATTGCTCACAAGAAATAGTCTAGAAGAGGAAAGAAAAATTAGAAAGTGATAAGTGCTATCCTACAGTCAAGTGTTACCACAGTAAATAAAAGAAACTCCTTCATTGAGAAAAATCAGGCAGGTGGCATTTGAGTTGAGGACTGAATGTTGGGAAGGATTTCTACTTGTAGAGATGACAGAAAGAAATGGTGCTAAAAATTTAAAAGTCTTACTAAGACAAATCAATACAACTTCTTTAACAATTTATTTTTCCTATAGATAAATATAAAATTCATTAAAAATTATGGACTAAAACAGGGATAAATTCCTTATTTAAATAAGCCTTTTGTTTGTATTAAACAGCTGTTTAATGTATGCCTACCACATGGTAGGGAGATAATACAGCTTATATTCTAGTGAAGGAAGATAATAAAAAAATAAATAAGATAATTAACCGTTAATAAGTAAAATGAATAAAAGAAATAAAGGAGTAAACAAATAAAGATAATTATAGCAGCTTTATAGGTGCTGCAAGATCACACGAGGGAATAACTTGTGCTGGAGGTCCTTTTCAGGTAGTTGGTCAGGAAAGTCCCTAAGGAAGTGATAAATAAGCTCAAGATACAGAATGATTAGACATATAAAGAGAGGAGTAAGCACACTCCAGGGGGATGGAATAAGCACAAATGCAAGATTTGCAGCATGTTTAAGAAACAGAAAGAAGAGTAATAAAGCTAGAATAGAATCACTGAAAAAAAAGTTATGACCTAAGGCTTAAAAGGTACAAAAGGGCCCAGATCATATAGAGCTTTATTTTTGAAAAGAGCAATAAGAAACATTGAAAGGTTCTAAATACAAATGTAAAACTGCTTTTTGCCTTAAAAAATATCAGTCTGATTGCTGGGTATGAATTTCAGGACTTCCATCTGGCCAAAATGAAGTTAGTGCAACCAGATTTACCTTCCTGACTGACACAATTATAAAACTGGACAAAATATATGAGACAATGGCTTTCAGACATGGGCCATCGGATAGAACATGATAAATGATCCCTGTAAGAGAGAAAACAAATGAGGTGAATCCTATGACTGCTCCTAGCTTATTGCCTGGAGAGAGTATCCAAGACACAGAATAGACAGGGGAAATCTAGTTGGAGTCCACAGACTCCCTTTGTTGAGGAAACAGAGCTGGAGGTTCAGGGAGACAACAAAGAATAGAATTCACAGGGCAGAGTACCATGAAGGAGAGTGCTTTGAGGAGAGAGAGCTCTGGAGATCTACAGAAAGTTCTCAAATCTTCAACTAAGTACTGATCAGCACATGCGTATGAAGTAATTACCCAAGTGTTGGAAAAGAACCACCCAAGACGAGAATATGGAACAATTCCAGGAACTCAAACAGAAATGGGAAAATTCTGTGTTCCCACCAGCCAGAGTGGAAAATCTCTTAATTCAAAGGAAATCAAAGAGTACCAGAAGGGTATTGCCTTAGCTAGGGGCAAAATCACAGACTGAAGGCATATCTGGTCCTGTTTAACAAAGTTTAAAGCAAGCCTTAATAAGATCATACTATTTCCAAGTAACTAAACTGTATCCCAGAACAAAGCTTAGGATGATTTATAGGAATACAAAAATTTCCAGACCAGAAAGATGAAATTCATAATGTATAGAATCCAAACAAAATTGTTAGGAATGCAAAGAAACAGCAAGTTACAACCTATAATGAGGAGAAAAATCAATTATTAGAAATAGACCAAGAAATGACACAAATGATAGAATTCATAGAAGGACATTAAAAGAGTTATCAAAACTATATTCCCTATATTCAAGAAGATAGAGAAAAGACTGAGCATGTTGAATAGAAAGATGGAAGATATAAAGAAGAGTCAAATCAAACTTCTACAGATAAAAAATACACTGAATAGATTTACCAATGCAAATGCAAATGATGAATTTAGACCCTTACCTCACACCATACATAAAAATGAACTCAAAATGGATCATAGACCTAAATGTAAGATCTAAAATTACAAGGAGACGCCGGCCCCGTGGCTTAGCGGTTGAGTGCGCGTGCTCCGCTGCTGGCGGCCCGGGTTCCCGGGGTTCGGATCCCGGGCGTGCACCGAAGCACCGCTTCTCTGGCCATGCTGAGGCCGCATCCCACATACAGCAACTAGAAGGATGTGCAACTAAAATTACAAGGAGAAAATCTTCATGACTTTGGCTTAGGCAAAGACTTGTTACCTATGACACCACACAAATGACTCCTAAATGAAAAAATTAATAAATTGGATTTCATCAAAATTAAAACCTTTTTTACTTCAAAAAGACACCACTAAGAAAATGATAAGGTAAGCATTTCACCAAAGATACACAAATGGCTAATAAGTACATGAAAAGATGCCAACATCATTTAGTCATTAGGGAAATACAAAATTGAAACCACAATAAGATACTATTACATATTGATTAGAATGGTATAAATTTTAAAAGACTGACTTTACCAAGTGTTGTCAAAGATGTTTTGCAATTTGAACTATTACACATTGCTGATGGGAATGTAAAATGATACAAATCACTTTGGAAAACAGTTTGCCAGTTTCTTAAAAAGTTAAACATACACCTACCACATGACCCAGCCATTCTACTCATAAATATTTACCCAAGAGAAATGAAAGCATATGTCTAAACAAAGATTTCTACATGAACTTTCACAGCAGCTTGATTTGGAATAGCCAAAACTGCAGGGGCTGGGGGGGTGGGGCAAATGGCCATCAACAGATGAATAAATTGTGCTACGTCCATACAATGGAATACTACTCAGTAATAAAACGAATGAACTATTGATACACACAACAAACGATACAGATGAATCTCAAATTATGCTGAGTGAAAGAAGCTAGACCAAAAAAAGGAAAACATACTGTATAATGTGACTTACATAAATTCTAGAAAATACAGACTAATCAACAGTGACAGAAAGCAGATCAGCAGTTGCCTTGGGATGGGAGTAAGGGATGATGTAAAGTGGCCAGAGGAAAGGATTACAAAGGTGCCCAAAGAAACTACTGGGGATGATGAATATTCATTATTTTTGACATATGTCAAAACTTACCAAAGTGCACATTTTAGATAAGTTCAGTTTGTTGTATGTTGATTATACATTAATAAAGCTGTAAAAAAAAATGGATCTCAGGACAAAGAGGAAACAAGAAGAACTGTTATATGGCTATTAACAATTCTAGGCAAGAGGCAGTGGTGGCTTAGACTGGCATGGAACCCATAGAGATGGCGACATGAGTAGATAATTTTAAAGTTTATTAGAACACAGAATTGACAATACTTTGTGAAATGGATATTGGCAGTTGAAGGAAAGGAAGGAATCAAGGACAACTTTTATTTTGGCTTAAGCAATGGAGTAAACAGTGATGCCATTTAATAAAATGAGGAAGACTGAGATAGGATTACAGAGTCAAAGTTTCTCATCGTGATTACCAAGAGTGATTCAAACTGGTTTTACAAGTTTAATGGATTTTAAAACAATGAACCAGGGTTTATATATTCTGACATCTGGAAAATAAAAGTGGGGCACGGATCAACTACCATAAATACGAAAAAGAAATTATTATGTTTATGACACAGGAAAAGAAACTAGCAATTCATGGAGATTATAAAACAGATGCAAAACACCTTGGCCCGAAATATTCTTTAAAATACATAAGTGAAAGGTAGACGTGCACATTAGAAAATAATTACTTAAAACTATTTTAATTAAATGCTACATTTTACTTCTAGTGTTTTTCTTCCCTAGAAGTATTACTTAGGTCTGTTTACATTTCTAACTAAAAATATTTGTGTCCACTAAAATCAAATAACTCAAAGAAAGAATGTTACGGGTTCTTTATTTCCTTCAACATCTTTGCTTACCTGTTTAATCTGTCGAATAATGTTCCAAATTGTGCTGTTCTATATGATGGACTGAGAGCATCTTGATTTTTGTTTAATTGGGAAACCAAGGAATTAGAATAATTAACATTACTGAGCTGAAAAAAAAAAGGAAGAACCTGCTAAAATGGTAAATGTACATATATACAACTTAAATTTATGATAAAATGTTATTTAAGTGGACATCTATATTTAAAAAATGTATTTTTTAGACTAAAACAAAGTAATTGTGTCCTTATTGAAAACAAAATAAATACTGTTTTAATAACGAAAGAGTATCAGTATTTGAATGATTGTTAAAATAACAGAGTTGATACTATGGTGAGCTAACCATTTTCTCAGAGGCAAAAGAAAAAAGATTAAAAAAAAAAAAAAATACCCACGTCACCAGGATCTTGAGTAATAAAAGTTAAATATTGCTAACAGAAAATAACAATTTCTCCCAAGGAAACAGCTGTACTTATCTCAGTTCTTCCATTTACTGAGCAATTTTAGACTGCTACTTTAATCTTCCTGAATAGCAGTATTGTGGAGTGCAAAATGGGGAAAGTATGGGAAGACTGTTGTGAAAAGCAGATGTAATAGTCCATTTGTTAATGTGGAAGGTACCATATTGATATAAGATATTATAATGGCCCAACACTAATCTATCCAGCAATAATAATTTATATCTGTAGTATATTTTATTTATAAGCCATGAAACACAGAAATGAGAAATCCAAAGACAATCAATGACCGAAATAGAAAAAAA